GTGAATCTACAATTATGGCAAAGTAAAAAGTTTAAGAAACAAACCAGCGGCTTGCTGTCCCTCTTTTCTGGATGCCGGGAGGGAGGTAGAGAGAGGTTGAGTAACTTGTTGATGTCATACACTGGAAGGATAAACCAGAGAAGACGTCTTCAGCAATATTAGGAGATCTTTTCTTCTTAACTCGTAGGAGTTCCTAGGTGGTGCACCTGGCCAAGCGCTTGGATCCCGAGTGGAAAACACCGGTGGTTCACACTTACCCAGAGGCATTTGGGAAGATAAGCCTGAGGGTCCAACTCTGAAAGCCCACAACCTGGAAGACGCCCATGGAGCTGGTCCACTCGGCACACAGGGGTCACCAGGAGTTTCAGTTGACTTGATGGCATCTACCAAGAGTGCTTCAGTATTTTAGGCAATTTGGGGGTAGAATAGGTACCCAGAAGCCCATTAAGACGAGGGCTCCTAAGGAACTTGCTGAATATATGGAGTGGAAAGCTTGCCAAAAACAGTCAGAAGAAAGAGTGGTGCAAAGAAAACCAGGCGGAGCAGAACTGTGTTGTCAGGCCAACCTGACCTCTGCCCTTCGCCCGGAAGACGGAGATCAAGTTCAGTGCTAACGTTCTGGCCTTAGTGCTGCTTTCCTTACTGATTTTTATTTCTCATGTCTTAGACAATTTTCTCTATGGCTAACTTCACCTTTTCTTTGAGCTTGTCCTTGTGACTAACTACGTTGGCCATCTTTTCAAGGGATTTCGATAGCTGTAGGATGAGTGATTTGACTAGATTCAGTTATCTACCAAAGCAAGTCAAGCAATTAATTTTTAAAAAGTATTGAGATGAAAATATGCATAACAAAGTGTGCACGCTATCAACCATTCCACATGTACATTTCAGTGACTTGGGTAACATTCTTCTGGTTGTGCCCCATTCTGACTCCTCCGCACAACTTCACCATTACATGAAGTGGTGTAGTTCTAATGTGGAAATCGGAGTGCCATTAAAACACATTGCCTCTAGGTACTCACTATCGAAGGTGGCACTGGAGTTGGTAGTGATGAGTACTGTGAAGAATAAAATGTAAAATAATAAAAATTATTGTCATTAAGCTGCATGCTAAACAAATGCCAAAATGGAATCAAGCTGACTTATTTTTATTCAATTACTAATGACTTAAATCCTGTCAACCTCTTGATTTTCAATTATGTGGAGTACCGTTCTGTGACTTGATTATATTTACACAGGCTCGTTTTATAGTTTGGTGCAATTTAGGATGCCCCAAGCTGCAAACGCAAGGTCTCTTTAGGAAATTAAATGTTGTATGTCTTTTTGCTTTCCCACAGCAATTCTGCAGAGCATCCTGGGGCCTCCAAGCCTCCGATAAGCTCCTCCGGCATGACATCACGCATCTTGCTACGCCAGCAACTCATGCGTGAGCAGATGCAGGAGCAGGAGCGCAGGGAGCAGCAGCAGAAGCTGCAGGCAGCCCAGTTCATGCAACAGAGAGTGCCACTGAGTCAGACACCAGCCATTAACGTCAGTGTGCCTAGCGCCCTTCCCTCTGCCACCCAGGTGCCAATGGAAGTCCTTAAGGTACGTGAGTGTCACTCTTGTCAGTCAAACCAGGCCTCTCTTCCCAAGGCTTTCTGTTGTCGAGGTGTTGTATTTCTATGAAGGAGCTCTGATGACTCCGTGCCTGGAGCGTTTGGTTGCCCCCCAAAAGATTGATGGTCAGAACCCACCCGCCACTCGGAAGGAGGAAGGTGTGGGAGTCTGGAAACGTGGGGGCAGGTCTAACCTGTCCTAGAGGTTGCGCTGCTTCAGAGTCAACTTGTGGCCATTGGGCTTGATTTAGTTTGGGGGTTTGTTTATCTGAATGTGTAAGTGATTATATTGACTCATCTGAATCATATTTGTGAACCGTGACTTCATTAGTTTCTACATGGCTTCTGTTTTGCTTTTTTTTGGTTAAAGGAAGGATGCAAACTAACTGAACATTCAATAACAAGCCTCAATAAGTGATACAGGCTTTATCAGTGTTCTGTGAAAACTCTCAGGTAGAAATAGGCATTTGCTGTAACAACATCTTTCTTTGGGAATGTTTTCCAATATCAGATTTATCAGAAATCAGGTCTTCCGGTAGCTCATATACCTTTAGTTCTTCCTAAATATATTCCATGCCTGTCCTTTAACTATTATTATTGCTATGTTCTTAGAACGTAAACTTGCCTATAGATTTGGAGATAAAACTGCCGAAGAGTATCCTGCTTTAATGACCAATGGCTTGCTGAATGGCTCGTCTACCTTTAGCCCTTTGATTTCAGCTAAGAATGGAAACTGCAGGAGCTTGTTAGCATCATTTTATTAAGGACATATAGCTTCCTAATTACTGGAAAAGTTGTAACAAGTCTAAGAATAGCGTTCATCCCTCTCTCTCTCTCACACTTAGCCTCCAACATCCCTTAGAGAGCGTCCTTGTTTAAAGATAAGCAGTCTAACTTTCTTAAATACAAGTAGTGCAAGGCAAGCGGAGAGAAAGGGAACACCCTTACTTTTGTGATTTGAAAATAAATAAGACCATTCACCAAAGTGATTTGTTCAAAAGTGTTACTGTTCTTTCAACAATGTGAACTTTACACGCTGGTGATTCGTTGTTGGCCTTTGCATTCACTTGTGCACACAGAAAAAGACATGTCGCACCATTTAAAGTTACTGCTTAAACAAATAGGGTGAGTGTGCGTTCTGTTTGGGAAGCAATAGGTGAGCCATACCAGGAAGTAGGAGAAAGGCTGTTCGAAAACAAATTTGAAGTAAAGTACTATTTTATTATTTTTAATAAATCATTTTACTGGGTGCTCTTACAGCTCATTTAGCAATGCATACATCAACTGTATCAAGCACATTTGTTAAAGTATTATTATTAAGGACTTTTAAAATAGACTGATGGGATAAATAAGGATGTGTTGATAGGGAAGGGAACTCCCAGGCTGTTGGGACAAACACGATCCAAAAGAATTAGGGTAAACTTTGTCATTAAGTGTTTTGCCACAATTAGTGTCTTTTTTCACTCATTGCCTCCCCTTTGTCCCCTTAAGTTAAGGAGGAGTTATCTCCAGAATGGATTATACATTGATTTTTCTGAAAGAAAAATTGATGATCACTATTGATTTGAGTTGTCTGGTGTTTATAGGAATCTTATTTGTTTTACTTAAATTGCTTAGAGTTGTATGCGCTAAGTAATAAGATGCAGAGCGATATGTTTATCCTATTCATGATAATGGTAATAATGGGATATGTTGTCAGTCTGAATGTTAATCTTTTAAAAGATAGGACGGGGATTTGTTCTAGTAGTTGTTTATGTACAAATAGAAGTGTTTGATATATATGAAAGCTTATTAATTAAAGACAACATTCCTATAAAGGGATTTGTAGTCTCTGGTGGGGGGGTTGCCTAAATTCAGTGTGATGAAACATTATTTGTATATCACCTTAAAATACACATCATTTCTAAATATTTGAATACTTAAATATATCTCATTTTGAAAATGATTAAAATTTGAATCGACATTAAATAGTTTGAGTAATATATCCTCTGGTTTGAGTAATTTTTCCAGTGTATTTCTCCGTTGTAATATTGGCTTGTGCTGTAATTTCCATTTAAGATATGCCAGAAAAATGTCCAGATTTGAAACCCAAATCAATTACTTGAACTGGATGATGTAGTCTTAGCTACAAGTAAGCAATTGGCAAAGACATATTTCATATATTAGTTGTTCAAAACTAAATAGTGGGATAAAGTAGAGATAGTGTTTATCAATATTTAGCAAATGTTAGCACCATGGCCAGGTAAAAATACATGCTTTATCTGAGATGACAGTCTAAGATATTATGATCATTATATGAGTGATCACTTCAGATAGTTTAAGACTGCTACTTCATAAAAATAGTTTATGTAATTTAAGAAACTATGTATGCACAGTAATCATTTGGAAATACTATTAAGCAATGTTAATTGTTAAAAAGCGAGAGCCATGGAGTCATGTTTTCTTTTCTCTTATAGTTCTTTTCTATAAATATAATTTTATAAAGTTGTGGATAGCGGAGAGGGTTCAGTTGTTTAACCTTGAACCTGTGTAAAATGAATATAAAATTTCAAGGAATGTGTAATATCAGATATACTAATTCAGTGCAGTGTAATACAGATGATACAGAGGAATATTTTCTTGTAATTCTTCATTTTAATGTCTAAGGTTTAAATTGTTGAAATGGAACATAAGTGGGTTTTCCTCTTGCTGGAGACCTAATGAATGAACCACCGTATATGCTTGTGTGTGCTCGAGAGTTCTGGTTAAGGTCCTGTGAGCCGGTGCTTATGGGGACGTGGTGGAAGAGATACAAATGGTATCCTTCGTTTTCACACACACACTAACTCAGTGGGTTTCACTATTAACGTGTTCAAAGACTGATTTTGAAAAGCTAAATTAGTGTTGATATATTGTTCTGTGGAAGCTTATAAAACAAGTTTAAAAATTGTCAATGTCTTCGGGCAAACCTAATGAAAAGCCTCAGGAATCGTGTGTGGAATTTGGTTCAAACTGAACTAAACTCACTGCCCTTGCGTGGATTCATACTCAAAGCCACCGTATAGGGCAGGATTGAAAAACTCCTTAGGGTAGTTGAGACTGTAAATCTTTACAGGAATAGAAAGCCTCAACTCTCCCCTACAGAGCAGCTGGTAGATTTGAACCACTTGCTGTCGCTTCCTGCCCATTACTGAACAACCCACTCTGCCACACGGATCCTAGAACATGATTGAGAGAGATTCTACGTTAGTGTCTGTCTCTCCTCACAGGGCCATCTTTCTGTGTAAGTTCATGTAACTTACAGTATTAGCTTATGGTTTCTGTACTGATTTTATTCATTTATGGCTTTATTCATATTACTGATTTTTATGTTGGGTGACATAGAATGATTTTTGCTGTATATTTACTGATTAGACGTATTCCTGTGATTTCTTAAGAACAACCTCATTCTTTGGATATTAAAATTTAAGGATGCTTATTTTCTTTGCCACAAATACACCCATAATTTGGAATGTGTAATCCTTTGTTGTTGTTTTGAGAGTCATGACCACATCCTGCATTTCAAATTAGGGATTTGTAAAATGTCATTAAGAACCATGAATGGAAGAGCTTCCTTCTGCTGTGTGTTGCGTTGACACACAAGGCTTACAATCTGAGGTTTGTAATTGGATTCATTTGATTTCAAATGGAAGTAGAGGAACCAGAGACAGACCTTATGAACCAGCTCTCACAGCTAAAACATGATCCAAAGCTCTACCGCAGGGTTCAGAACACTCCTTGAGCATCTGTTTCCCCTCCTCCTTGTGACAGATGGGCCTGGTTACTCTGAACTTGGGCTGGCAAGTTCACCGTGCTACTTTGGTTTTAAATTGACACGTTTACTTAACTTGGGCCTGGTAATTCATAGGATGAAAACATTCATTGTTCAGAAAATTTTAGGACATTGCTAAGTATTTCTTTTTCCCTTAATTCTTCCTTCCCTCCTTGCTCCCTCCCTGCTGTCCTTTTTTCCCTCCTACTTCCCTTCTTTAGCCCCTCCCACCCTCCCTCCTTCTCTCTCTTCTTTTTTTGCTTTAGAATTTAAATAAAAGCAAGGTGTTCTTTATGGAACATATGATGTGTTTAATTTTTGTTGTTCTGCTTAGGCATAAAGTATGAATTTCAAAGAAAATGTTGGTGGCTGTTCCTTTAAACTCTTATTTTAAGTTGTTTGAAGGAATTTATTATTTTTAATTAATAAAAAATGGATGCTTCCCCCCCAACAACTTCAGATAATCAAAGAAACTCGGCAGATTGTTCTGCATTTAGAAAAGCTGTTTGACTTTCAACATACAGACATCCATTTCGTCAGGGCCCTCTACCTCCGAAACGAAATATACCCTTGGCTTTTGTTTGGTGACCCTCTCCCCAGGTTGCATCTCATTTGGCTAGAAACCCTCGTTAATTGGGATGGAACTCTTGTTTCCTTGACACCCTGTTCTACCATCAGCACTCCATAGATTTCAGAAGTGAAACAAGGGGCAATTGTGGAATACTGGCCTTTCCTGTAAACTGTCAGTGCTAGCAGGGTTAGAAATGTCTAAGTGTGAAAAAAAGCTTTAGTTATAAAAACAGAAAACAAAATCACTGCAATGGATTTTATTCTGACTCATAACACCCTGCAGGACAGGGTAGACCTGCGCCTTGGAGTATCTGAGAATTGTAAAATTTTTGTGAGAATAGACAGCCTCATCTTTCGCCTGAGAAACAACTGGTGGGTTTGGACCACTGACCTTGTAGTTAGAAGTTCACAGCACAGCCTGCTACTCCAGAAACATCAGAAAGGGGGTATAAAGTTAAAAGTGGGCATTGGCAGAAGGGACTATCCTAAACCTACTGTACATCTAGAATTTGTTCTTGATTTGTTTGGCCAGGAATATTCTGGTGGTACCCAGTTACCAATCCAAAAGTTAGCAGTTCAAACCCACCCAGTAACTCCAAGGGAGAAGGACCTGCCAATTTGCTTTGGTAAAGTTTGGTGTTGTTAGGTGTCCTGGTGTTGTCTCTGCTGGGTAGGAGAATTCTTATAATACCATAACTTATTCACACACGGCCCATTTTATAATTTAGTCACCAGTAGTGCAACTTAAAACAATTTTGTGGGCCACGATTTATAAAATACATTGTTGATGAACATTGGTGTCCTCGTTTTTGAATAAGATTCAGTATCTTCAAGACCACATGTGCAGGGAGGAAAGGGAACTATGTTCCCAGGTTTCATAAGGAGAAGCTCTTCACCCTGCTAGAGAACTCATTTCCCTGCAGGGCCTTTGGACCCTTCTAGAAGGATCATCATTTGGTTTTGCCCAGTATCACACCTACTCTACTTTTCTTTAGCTTCACTACTCTTTTTGATTGATTTCTTGAATTGCAGATAAAACTTGTTCACTTGTAACAGGTTTATTCAACAAGGGAGACTAATCAAACATGAATGTCGCACTCCTTACCACTCCTACCCCCCAGATCTGTTGGGATGCAGCCTTCTCTTGTCTCAGGGGTGCGTGCTTCTTGTTTGAGTGAGGTTTGAAGAAGTGTCCAGGGAGCCTACGCATGAACTTGGTGTTCCTCCTTGTATACATTTGCAAATGGGACACAAGAACAGCCTTTCCTCTTTCCAGGTTCTTTCTGCTTGTGAGGGTCTGCTTCAAATTCCATTCTTCCTAAACCGAATGGGGACAGCACAGTTTGTTTTAGAAGCTGCCGGGTCATTCTGATGGTATGAGAGTGTGTCCGTTTCATGAGCCTGATTGATAGTCCTTCTGGTTGTGGTGTGACTGACAGGATTGTATCATATGGGTAAGGCTTCTGGTCCTCCTAGCAGCGGCACAGAAGCTACACCATAATGATATTTTATATTGGTCACATGACATTTACACAGGCTAAGTAGTGCATAGATTTTGGTAATTGATTATTGATTACTTGTAGGCATGGTTGTCTACCTGCAATTTTTTAAAAAATGGCTTGATGATCTCATTATTGTTTGAAACTAATTTGACTTGGGGCAACGGCATGTATGTTGGTCATCATGATTGGTGAGCCCCTCAAATTCACTGTGGGGGTCATTGTTTGTGCGTGTCGCCACTCTGAGGAGCTCCTATTCCAGCACGTACCAGGCTGTATTCTCTGGTGAGCCACAGAGCTCCCGCTGGTCACTTTTTGGAAACAGATCACCAAGCTTTACTTCCTAATCATCTGTCGTCAAGGAGCTCTGCTGAAACATGTCCACCATCGGTTACCCTGCTGGTATCGTACATCCTGGCCGCATTGCCTCCAGCGTCATTCCAACATGTGACAGACAGACAGACAGCGGTGGTTTATTAACTTGGTGTGGTGGCTGTTAGTTGCCATCAAGCTAGTTCCGACCCCAAGCAGCCGTATGTCTAATAAGAAAGTAACACGGCTGTGCCATTTGCATGGCTTCTCAATCGTTCGACTCCTAAGAACTAGTGACTCCTTGCAGCGGAAACAAGCTAATTTGCCTGAACGTTAAGATTTGGTCCACTTGAAAGAGCAGACTCACGAGGAGCAACTATGTAAAACAAAAT